TGGAATCCCTGCTCCCCTTGGGCCAATCCAAGCCCTTGGAACCCCCCGGCCCCGACCAATCGCAAGGCCGCCCCGCGGCAGTTGGAGAGAGAAGGCTGGGAAGGTGAGGCTCCACTTCCCGGTCCGTGGACGAGAGCGCACACGAGAGAGAGATCCCCCGACCCCCCCAGGCCTCCTTCCTCCATGTTTACTCCCTGGGTGGTGACCGCCGTCCGGCGCCTAGCCCGCCGGAGCAGGACGGCCGTGGTGTCTGGTTGCCGTAGCTTCGGGGCTCCGCAACAAAGATCCCTCTCCCTCCACGAATACGTCAGCATGGAGTTGCTGAAGGAGGCCGGCGTCGCGGTGCCGAAGGCTGTGGTGGCAGCCAGCCCCGCTGAGGCCTTCCGGGCCGCCGAGGAGATCGGGACGGAGGACCTGGTGGTGAAGGCCCAGGTCTTGGCCGGGGGCCGGGCGCAAGGGACCTTCAAAGGCGGGCTGAAGGGCGGCGTGCAGATGGTCTCCTCGCCGGAGGAAGCCCAAGTGGCGGCCGCTGGCATGATCAGCCGGAAACTCCTCACCAAGCAGACCGGTCAAGCCGGGAGGATCTGCCAGCGCGTCCTCGTCTGCGAACGCCGCTACTTGCGGAAGGAATACTACTTCGCCGTCGCTCTAGAGGGGGCCTTCCAGGGGCCCGTCCTGATCGGCAGCGCCCGAGGCGGGGTCAACATCGAGGAGGTGGCATCCGAGGAGCCGTCGGCCATCTTGAAAGAGCCCGTCGACATCGCCGAGGGCCTCCGGGAGGAGCAGGCCCTCCACCTGGCCCGCCGGATGGGCTTCCCGGAGAAATCGGCATCGGCGGCCGCCAAGAACATGCTCAAGCTCTACGGGCTCTTCCTCCGGTACGACGCGCTGCTGGTAGAGGTCAACCCGCTGGCGGAGGACGCGGCCGGAAGGGTGGTGTGTGTGGACGCCAAGATCAACTTGGATGACAACGCGGCATTCCGTCAGGCGGGCGTCTTCGGGCAGCGGGATTGGTCGCAGGCAGATGAGAAGGAGCGGGAGGCGTCCGAGGCCGGGCTGAACTACGTCGTGTTGGAAGGGGACATCGGGTGCTTGGTCAACGGGGCGGGCTTGGCCATGGCCACCATGGACCTGATCCAGCTCCACGGCGGCAGGCCAGCCAACTTCCTGGACGTGGGCGGAGGGGCGACGGCGGAGCAGGTGAAGGAGGCCTTCAAGCTGATCACCTCAGACGCCGGGGTCAAGTCCATCCTTGTCAACATCTTTGGAGGCATCATGCGCTGCGACACCATCGCCGAAGGGATCCTGCTGGCGGCCGGTGAGCTGGCGCTGAAGATCCCCGTGGTGGTCCGCTTGCAGGGCACCGGGGTGGACCGGGCGAAGGCCTTGATAGTCGAGAGCCAGCTGGAGATCTTGCCCTGCGACGAGCTGGACCAGGCGGCCAAAGCGGCCGTGGGCCTCTCCAAAATCGTGACGTTGGCCAAGGAAGCCCGCCTGGAGGTGAGCTTCCAGTGGAGGATCTGAGGAAGCTGCTCTGCAAAGGGTGGATTCACCGTGGTGGAGGGCCAGATCTTCCATCTCCACCATGGTTGAGGACCACCTCGCCCTAGATCTTCCATCTCTACCATGGTTGGGGACCAGATCTTCCATCTCTACCATGGCTGAAGACCAGCCCTCACCAGGTCCTCCATCTCTACCATGGTTGAGGACCAGATCTTCCATCTCCACCATGGATGAGGACCAGCTCTCACCAGCTCTTCCATCTCAACCATCGTTGAGGACCAGCTCTCACCAGATCTTCCATCTCTACCATGGCTGAAGACCAGCCCTCACCAGG